AAAAAAAGGAAAAAGAGGAAAAAGAAAAAATGAGAGACCGTGAGAAAGATAAAGAAAGTAAAACACCAAAGAAAGTTACACGTGGTAATTGTGAAGAAGAAAAGAAAAAAGAAGAGTATGAAAATAAATTAAAAGAACTTCAGCAAGCATCCAGGGATGATAAAATGATGCTTTATTTAGGTTCTGATAGAACTCATCGCAGATATTGGAGATTTTTATCAATTCCAGGTAGTTTAATATTTTCGGTATTATGCACATCTAACGAAATAGAAATATATAAAATTTGTGTTTTTTCCTTAATATTTAGGAATATTCGTAGAAAACGATGAGTGGTGGCCAGGTAACTGCCTTCCAGAAGGTACTCCTTACCAACCGGAATTACAAGACAGAGAATCTACATATGCATACTTAAGAAATAAATTTGAAGATGAATTTAGTGATAAAGAAAATAGATTTAAGAAGGCAAAGAAATCTCCCAAAAAAGTTACATTTTCTGATAAAAATGGTCTCAAATCTCCAAGAAAAGATATATCTCGCAAACAAGAGCTATTTGACATAAGAAAAAACTTGATGGCTTGTACAGGAGATAAAGAATGTCCAGTTCACTGGAAAAGATCAGAACCAAAATGGAGTTTCTATGGAAAGCCAGAAGACATAGAAGCTCTAGTGAATGGTTTAAGTAAACGAGGAATTAGAGAAGGCGAACTCAGGAATAACATTATGCAAGAAATGACGAGTTTGATGTGTGTGATCGAAGAGTGTCCTCGACAGAAACTTAATCCTGACGTTGTAAGTACCTTGTAATACATTTTTTATGTATTGAAACTAAATGGAGAATAATAAATAAATTTTGCATATAGTTTGCAGGACCTATTAAAGGACCTTCTAATAAAACTTCAAAAAAAAATAAATACGAAAACGCTAACTTAAACTTTCCTTCTGAAATGCCAGTGGTCGATGTTTTAGAATTAACATTAAGAGATTATATTTTAGATTTCGAAGATAAAATGAAATCAGGTTGCTTAGGACATTTAAAAGTCAATGATCGAGAAGCGTGGAGAAAAGCAATTAACAACAGGGGCTATGACAAACAGTGTGATAAACTAATATATGGTACAAATGAAATTGAAGTAGACGTTGCTAGTAATATAACTTTAGATAAAGTCAAAAACGAAGCTAAGCATAGTCGACCAGGTACTCCAGATTCAGAAGTTGGAAGTATTAATATAAAAACTTACAAAGATTCAGGAAAATACTTAGGGCCACCAAATGAGAATGAACTACTCCCAGATCCTAAGCAACAAACAGTTATTAAACAAATGGCTTGTGCTATTTTACAATTATCTTATGCTGTAGATCAAAAGTACTTACAGAAACCATTATGTGGTGATGAAAAAGACAAAAAATGGACAGGTGAAGAAACTAGAGAAAGATGGGAGCAATCTCTTATGGCATCAACAAGTTGGTCTCAATTATTTTTACATTTAAGTACATTAGAAAATAGTGTCGCGTGGGATAGAAGTGCACTCAATGCCCAGTGTCGCATATGTAGACGACGTCGAGATCCCGAGAAAATGCTACTTTGTGATGAGTGCAATAAAGGCCACCATTTATATTGTTTAAAACCAAAATTGAATGTAATATTTTTCGCCAAATAATTGTATACAATTAGAATTAATTTTGATTATACGATAATAATTGACGATATATGTATTTGTAGACTGTACCAGAAGGAGACTGGTATTGCAAAGTATGCAAGCCACCGACCAAATCAAAGGAGAAACTTAAAAAACGTAAGATATTTGAAGATGAGTTGGAAGAAGAGGAAGTAATATTAACTAAAGAAACTCGACATAATCGTGCAAAACGAATTCTTGAAAGCGAAGGAGAAGAGGATCAAGACGACGATGACCTAGAAGACGATAGTGACGAGGATATGTAAGAGTTATTTTAAGAAATGTTTATTTATTAAATGAGGAAATATTGTTTAATAGTTGTTGAATTTCAGGGACAGTCAACACATGAATGTGTGTTCTGTATGTCGAAGCGGTGGAAAATTAATCAGGTGTGACGCATGTTCAAGCTTCTATCATGTAGAATGTATAGAACCTCCTATGGCAAGAGCACCTCGAGGAAGATGGTCTTGTTCAGACTGCAAGGATAGAAAAGATAGGAAGACGACTAATAAGTATGGTAAGGTATTCAAATTATAATACGAAAATTTGCAAGTTCAGTGCCTACAGAATATATTTAAATAAATCTTGAAATTATTTAGTAACTGAATAATATTTTATTATCGTTTCGTACTAACACATTAGTAAATGAAATATTTTACTTAAAGAATAATATAATAAAGCAGTTTCTTAGTTTAAATTGTGTTGTTAGTGAGGGGGCGTGAAAGGGAAAGAGACGGGGAGAGGCAGTGCGCTGCAGCAGCACGCTCTCGCATCCATGGCTTTGCCAAGAGCCTCCTCACTACAGAGTCTACAGACTGGGAGGGTCTGTATTGTAACTCTATTCTACTTTCTTTAGTGTATTCATCATTTTTTTTTATATTGGATAGTACAATAACATCTGCTTCACGTATTTATTGATTAATTATTAATACATTAGTTTTTTTTTTTTTTTTTTTTTTTTTTTGGCACGTAGAGGCTTTATTGCATGTATATGTACACATGATCCTTATATCCTTATTTCCTTATTATAATGAACCTTTATTTGTTTTCTTTTTTTAACTCCTTTGTTTAAAAAAAAAAAAAACATTAAGATTAAAATAAAACTTCTATTATTTATTAGCTACCTAATTTATAATGCTTTGCATGTGTTATATACTTAGATTATAAACCAATATTTAATTATGTATAAAAACCTTGATACACAGATAGTAGCACTTCGGAAGATACTGAACCAAGGCAAACAAGGCGAGCAGCTAAAAGAGCGGCTGAGATAGAAGAAGATAAAGGAACAGTTAAAGGATGCATGGGAAGACTGCAGGAATTACTTACAGATGTGATGCATCATAGAGATTCTTGGCCTTTCCTATCACCTGTTACAAAAGACGAAGTTCCAGATTATCACGATATTATCTCGAATCCCATGGATTTCGGTACAATTAAATATAAACTTAACAATGGAGAATATGAAACGTCGGAACAGTTTTTCGGTGATTGTCATTTAGTATTCGAAAATTGTCAAGCTTATAATGAAGAACATAGTGCAGTTTACAAGTAAGTATAACTAACACGAATATCGTTATGTATAAGTTCGGATGCCAGAGATTGTGAAATGAATTAACAATAGTGATTAATATACCATACTAGAAATGCTTTAGCTAGTTTAAAAGTTTACTAATAACAACAACGATTTTATATTTTTACATATAACAAATAACAGGCGTAAGTAGTTAATTACAATACTTTATTAATTATTACTACTACTGTGATAGTGAAATTGATCAGCATGCGCTTGTGACTAATAAACCAATCGTAATATAAAGTAATCCGTTATAACATGTAACAAACGATTGAATGCCTTAATTTTTTTGTTTTAATTCAACATTTTAAGTTCATACACAACTAAATCAATGTTCACTCAAATACGTTTTAGATTAAAAAAAAAAAAAAATCAAAATCTTTGGCTTCCGAACATTTAAAATAATGTATGCCTTTAGAGTTAGACTATGTTTTTTTAAAAATAGTTACGTGTACAGAGCAGGTATGAGGTTACTGAAGTACTTCGAAAAACGATGCAAGGAATTAGGATTAAATTATGGTGAGGAACCACTACGTCCGTCAAGCGCAAAGAAACCAAGATTTGAAGAAAATGATCTCGTGGATAGCGAGGATGAAGATACTGAAGAAATTCAGAAGTCAAGATAGAAACAAAGTACTTTTTCCAATACATTCTATTTATTAAATATTAACTTTTATTCCTAATACGTAAATGTACCTTGAAACTGAAAATGGATTTATGTACTGTAATATTGAACAGTATATAAATTCATAATTCAACAGAAGAAATACTGTAAAGTACATATTACTAAAAGACTTCGTTTACTAAAAGTTACAAAGTGCTATACATACAGAATTTATAAAATTAATCTATTGAAACAGGTGATAAAATGCAAGCTTAAAAATGTTTCAAATATTTTCTCCTTCGTTACTTATCAAATATCCCGATCAGTTTTTTTAGGCTTGCTATAATAAAATGCATACACAGTATTATTTGTAGAATTTTACGCATGTTGTAAGTGCTCTCATATATTTGTTAGATTTTTTAAAATAGAGCATTTTATAAATAAGTAAACCAGCGCATAAGCAATGAACTAATTTCATTTGCTTGAACCAGTACAAGGTTAGTCTTTTGAGTTAGTAGTATTACAATTCTTTTTTTTTTTTTTTTGTTGGACAAGTTTTTTTTACATTGTATTAATGATTATTTATTATTTTAATATTATTGATTTTATTGCATTTCATGTATTCTTTTACTGCAAACAATTTTAAAGGTTACCTAACTGTATTCTAAACTCTTTAGGCTTTTACCTATGCAAAATTCGAATTCATGTAAAGTGTTCTGCATTAATTGTCTTTTATAACGTATTTATACCATACGAAGTACGATGAAACGTAACACGACTGATGATTTAAGAGTTAATACATGCGTAATAAAAAGAAAACTTTTTTATTGTGAATGCAAAAAGTATTCTTATAACACTTAAATTTATATATAACATAATTATTATGCCTGTATCTATAAAGTAGATTTTACTGGGGTTCAAATATGTTGTTATATATTGCACAAAATTATTAGGAATTAAAGATCTTATTGTTTAATTATTTTTGTTTTAGGTTTTGCCAAATTGTTCGTGTATTAGTGGTACTTATCCTTTTTTCCTTCTTTTTTTCTTTTTTCTTTTCAATCAAAAATCAGCCTTTAAAAAAAATTGAAAATTTAGGCTGGCCCTATACAAAATCTACAGTACAAATTATTATTAATCTCTATATTGTACAGCAGTAGAAACAGTTCTTTGTAATCATGTATGTTTTATACAATTAATTTGGTAATAAACTTTTCAAGTAGATTTGTAATTGCAGTTTGTACATGTATTATACAGAAAACTGGTAGACATTAACATACATTAGACTTCAATTACTAATCCATATAAGTTTTACATATATTTGTTCCGATACATCACGCTACATTACAATATTTTTAGGTGTAATTCAGTGATGCATCTCTCCAGAGAATTGTTTCCTATGAATTTCATCCCACTTTTTGACATTCTCAGGTTGAAAAGCTAAAAACAAAGGAAGGTATTAATAATTATATATCATCATTGCATACATTTGAATGATAAAAATTGAAACAATTTCAAATTGTATTATAATTATACTTACTTAGTTTCTGGAAGAAATACCAGACAGGCATCAAACCAACTGCAGTCCACATCCAATATTTGAGTATCCAACCACGCTTATGATTATAATAATGATTAAATGGAAAGTGAGCAATTTGTGCAGATAATGTATATGGATATCTCATTGGTTTTCCAGACATGGTTATCTATAACTTTGGTATTAATATATGGAAAATACAATATTCACATTAATAATTAGGATATTTTGATTTTTATGTGAGTTTTATTACCTCAAACTGAAGTAATTATTTTAAAAAGATCTTTATATATATATCAATAAAACAATATTTAAATATTACCCGTTCTGTTTTTAATAAAGTTAGGAAATCACGTCAACGATACCACTGAACAAATGGTACTTCCAACTAAAATCATGAACCAATTGTTACATAATATGTCTGTTACCAGGGTATATTCAAAATGATCAAACTTCAGGTTGTCCATGACTATATTGCATTATTTGAAATACTATTGGATAGAAATTGGACAAAATTACAGAAAATTAATGCGTTTGAAAAATCGCAACCTTACCTCTTTATGAAACCATTGAAAATGAATATTCAAACACATAACTTTTTATAGAGTTTTATAAAGTTCAAGAAATACAGCAAAAGATTATTAACATGATATGTATATATAAAATTATATATAAAGTTGTTTTTAGCGCTACTTATTACATTCCAATATACTAAATTAGGTTTTTAATAAAAACATATAAAAATATGAAGATATGTCAAAGTGATAAGTTGACGTAGGCATATGTATGTATGTAGTACTACTGCAGTTCACCAGAGTCCATAACTGCGAAAAGACCAGTTTTCGTTCTTCGCGCATCTCCAGTACGCATCTTCGCCCTGATTGGCGATACTCCCAAACGAAGTGGAAAGCGATTAGCAGAGAGCTCGCTGCGTTCCCCCACCATCTTCCAACCTGCGCGTCGCAGTTATGGACTCTGGTGAACTGCGGTATAGTATCCTTGTCTACACTTGCGGGTCTGAACAAACAAGGAAGATAAAGTATCTATTGAATAAAATTAATAAAAACATTTGAACCTGTACACGACTACCATGAGTTCCATAGAGGTTGTAAATTTGATTATTTAAACTTAAATATTTAAAGAATTTACAAGTTTGTTAATAAAAGATTTTTTGTTGAAAATAAGTATCAGTTTGACTCAAACAATATGCTACCACATTTGTAATATTGATAAACCTTTTATTGTACTATTACATTAATTTTACACTATATATAAATTTGTAATCATTTATTTATCACTTGTTGTCAGGAAAAATCTTTTGGAGATGCAGATATTGAGTTGTTTAATTCAAACGTGTTGGAACGACTGTCTTTGTCACACGTCGAAGGTTGTGTAATTAGATCTTTAAGATCTGGTGATTATGATAGAGGTAAAATAAGTTATTAATAATAATATTAAATAATAAAATGCTTTATTTATTAATCTTTTATATTTATTTTACAGGTTTTCTTCAACTGTTAGCTCAATTAACTGAAGTTGGAAATATTAGTAAAGAACAATTTTTAAGTAAGTTCTTTGAAATTATGATCTTTAAAAAAAAATACAAATAATGTGATGAGAATTATTTTATTTGTTCTGTATGTGTAGACCG